CGTTGTGTTGCTTGGTGCAGACCAACATGGATGTGCGAAGTGGTATGTCGGAAGCGAATAGACGTGACGATTGCAAAGCAAAGTGTTGGTTGGCAATTTATGCGATGGTTGGTGAACTAGATGACGGTTGGTAAACTGTTACGATGGACTATGAATGCTCAGCTAAAGGGACGCAACACTTCACATATTAAGTAATGGTTTGTGGATAAAAAAATCAAAACCCGTAAATGCAGCTTCACCTTGTGACATAGTAAAATGTTGTGAGACAGGAAATGTTGATTCATCTTGAGATAATTGAAAATTTTGAAAAGATGAACAATTTGTAGCTGGAAAATCATTTTGACTAAATGAGATGTTTGGATATTGTGGTGGCCATTGAGGGAATTGAGTAAAAGTATTTGGATTTGAGAAATTCACATTTCCAAAAACGTAAGTAGAAAATTGTGTTAAATTAGGTTCTAAATTAGAATTCAGATCAATAGGATGATTAGAAAAAGAGGGACGAATATTTGAATTATTTTGAAGTTGTGATGATTTTTTGGATTTTGTGGGATTTTTTTTTCTTTTGTGATTTTGGGTTATTCATCTCCAAAAGTTTTAATTCCACCAACATTGGATTACCACAAAAATTTGCTTAGTTAAATATGGGAGTAATAATTGGTGAAAAAAAAAAGTTGGGTTAAATATCTCAAAATAATACTCATTTTATAGAGGGGAAAAAATTAGAGCAGTTGGTATAATTAATTTTTTTAAAATTTTATTTATTTTAAAATTTATGACCGTTGTAAATTTTACAACGTTCATGTTTTACTTTAATTATAGACCATTGGATTCAAAATGGCAAAACAAACAAGATGATGTCAAGTGTCACTTCTCAAACAAATTAACCCAACTTTATTCCCTCCTCCAATTTCCCACGTGAAACTATCTATATTGAATAAAAAAAATTCCCACCAACCAATAGCTCTTTGACAAGTGTCACCATACACAAGCATTGCCCACTCTTCACAAATGGACATGGCCATGACCTGGTCATGCACCATTTCCCTCAAAAACTACTCCCTTGTATTATTTTTATCTTTTTTGGATTTTCTCTCTCTTCATGACCACCCAAAGAGGGCAACCAATGACAATGCTCTTACTTTTACTAATACCCTCCTATATTTCTCTCTACTATATTATTTTTATTCTTTTTTTTACTTGACTTGTGGACCCACACATTTACTATTCATCTTAACATGCTCATCCTATCAGCAATTTTTATTTTGCTCATGAGCATTTTTGCTTTTGCTCAAATTTTATTTTAATTTTACCTAAAGTTTTGCTCATGAGCATTTTTTTGCTCATTGTTGGGAATGCTCTTGGAACCTCAATATATTTTTTTCTCCCATTCGTTGCAATCACACGCTAGCAATTTTCTTTAATTTTTTTATTATTATTATTTTTACAATCAATGGTTCACGTGTTAAAAAATTTGTAAAAAACACCCATTAAACAAGCCCTTATTTTTTCTGTACATATACTATCTTTTCATCTTACATTTAAAAAAACTAAAAAAAAAAGAATATCCCACTGCTTGACGCAACTCTTCCATAAAAATTAAAAAAAAAAAAAAAAAAACTTTTAATGCTCCACTTTGTCCAAACCCTCTCGGAGAATCACAGTGCAATGCAACCTTTCTAACCATCACTTCCAGTCTTCAATTCCTACATTGAACAAAATTTGAGATCTTATATTCAAGATCGGTTTCTCGTTCTTGACGTCTGTCTTGCAAGGGCATATAAAGGATAAAGTTATTATATTATCATCATTAGTAGTTATTGTTTAAAATATGTAAATCCCTTGATTTATTCCTTAACTTTGATAGTCAAAGTATATCCCTTATAATTAGCTAACGTACCTAGTCATATTGTATATTTGTATTTAGTCATAGTTTGGTATGTTCAATGATTTAATCTTGTACTATATATACTCTTGTATATTCATCATTTCATCAATATAATTAAGCTTTCCAACATTCTCTTTCTCATAACTCTATCACTGTACACATTTTAATCTCTCTATCTCATAATATAAAACTGACTAATAAATCTCATTGTTTATAACTATACATAAAATACTCTCGTTGTGAGATATTGTTTGATTTGTCTCAAAGTGTAGTTTTATAATACCAACATTTTATTATTTGCTTGGATGGGAAGGCGCAACTTCCAGCCATGTAGCCAGCTGATTTCCAAGCTTGGGACTGGTGGATTGTGCTACTTGGGTCAGGCTTGGAGTTTCTGAATACTGCATTATTGCGGCCTGTGCATAACTATAATGTATTATAACTTTCTCATAGTAGGCATCCTTATTAGATAATGACCCTAATGTTAGCTACTGTACTACGGAGTATTATGTAATGTTGGGCTGTCTTTGGGCAGATGGATCTTATTGGGTTTTATCAATAATTTCAGTTAGGCTTTGCAATTTTAGTCTGGGTTAATAGTTTAAATTGGGCTTGGGTTTTGAAATTTTGGAGACGTTCAAAATTTTTAAAGGCCATTTATAGCTGACCATGTTTTTTCAAAAGTAAATTTAATTTTGGACTTCAAAAAAGCAGAAAAACGAAACAATTTTATATCTTTGAATTAAAAAACACATAAAAGTAAATAAAAACAAATAAGGTGGTTACTCCATGTTATAGTACTCATTACATCTCAAAAAAATATTTTTGGAGATAGTATAAAAATATAAATGTATTGTAAACGTATTTCTTAGCACGTAAAACGAGTTATATTTTTTTTTTTAGTTTTGTCTTTAAATGGGATCCTAAAAAGTTAAAATTACCACAAAACATTAAAAAAAAGTAAGTTTTGAATTTTTGTTTTTTTAATGATGAGGTGATGAAATCTAATTTTTTGAAAAAAAAAAAAAAAACCCAGATGGTGACCTCAATATATGGTACTAGTTCTTTGTCCGAGCAATGCTCGGATTTTCACAAGAAAAAAAAAATTATAAATTACTATAAGTTAATACAAAGTATCTCTTTATATTATCAAATTATTATAAATTATACGCTAATGTAGAGTACTTATCTTTAATTTTAGTTTGCAGACATGTTATAAATTTAAAATTGAGTTAAAATCCTATTTTTAGTAGAAAACGAACAATGCATTTTATATAAAGATTCAATGGAATATACATTTTTATAGATTAGCTATTAAAAAAAAATATTTTACTCCGTATTCATTTAAGCTGTTATTATTGGTCTATTTTTTTAGGTTGTTTAGCAGCATATTTTTTTTAAAAAAAAAAAATATATTATCATCAGTTATTTTTTTTTTAAGGAAAAAAAAAAAAATTTTGGAAAATTTTAACGCGACACGTGTAATTTGGGATAATGCTGGTGATTACTTCCGTCTATAGTATTGATTTTAGAGGTTGTAAAGTGCAAAATTTCTTTAAAATTATGAAGCAAAATGTAATGGAAGGTAGTAGTAAGGTATTACGGAGTACTACTTTTATCGAGCAATCTAAAAATCAAATGTACATTACATAACATAGTTAGAAGGTAACCGGTCTAACCATATGGACAAATATATCTATTCAAAAAAAAAATATGGACAAATTTATAAATCACTTCACTGTCGCTCTTTAGTGATTTGTGTGTGAATTTTCTATAATTCATCAATTGAGATGGGGAGGAAGTATATTCTAAATGTTGAATCACTGCAAGTAGTTAAGAACTGATCGAAAAAGTACTTGGGTCTAAAGACAGTCGTGGGTCATGCCTTGTACCATATTTCGGTTCTTTTTTATTAGGTCCAATCCATGCCTAAGCTCACTTATTAGGTGTTGTGTTGTGTCATGTTTAGAGGTGCTAATTGAGTTGAGCAGCTCGTGAGCAACTCGAATTTGGCTTTAGTTGAGTCAACTCGAATTCGAATTGACTCGACATGTTAATGAGCACGAGTTGAGCGAGCTGTAACTCGACTTGATAAGCTCGTGAGCAACTCGATAATATATTTTATTAATATAGATTTTACAAACAACGTTATTACCATGAATAAATTTGACACTCAATAAGAGTTAAGGACTTGTTCACATTTAATGAACTGAGCTGAATTGAATTGAACTGAAATGAATAAAACTAAAATGAATATTTTATGAGAGAAGGAAATTAGGCGCTGAATTGAATTGATAGGAACTGAACTGAACTGATTGAAACTGAATTGGATTAAACTGAAGTGAAATGAAATTAAGCTGAATTAACAAGCTAATTTATATTATATATATATATATATATATATATATAAGAGTAAATCTTTAATAATAAATAAAATAATAAAAAGAAACTATATAAAGGGAATAAAAACAATAAAGACCTATAATTTTAGAAGGGCCAAGTAAATCGTGAGCTACTCGACTTGAAACTTTAACGAGCATGAGTCGAGCATGTTTTATTAGCTCGAAACTTTAACGAGCACGAGTTGAGCACTTGAAAAAAGTGTTTTCGATTCGAGTTGAGTATCCCTTAGCTCGTGATCGGCTCGCTCAATTTGCACCCCTAGTCATGTTTGTATGTCTACGTCAAATTAAACTATTTTAGCAGTTATGTAGTGTCACTATTGATCATATTTCACCACTTTTCGAAAAAAATATGCATTAACGTAACGACCTGTTCTAATTTATAAAATTGAACTGAACCGAAATAAAATGAACTGAATTGAGCTGAACTGAATTGAACTAAAGTGTTTATAAAAAAAGATAATTAGAAATAAAACTAGAGTGAGCCGAGCTTAAGCTGGAGAGAACATGTCCTTTATGCAATGTCGTGTTTTTTTCATGTATCTCACGAGCCGGCCCTATATTATCTTTACTCGGGTATTGGGACCTTCGGATAGGGTCGGGTTTGACATGTCTTATTACATAAGTCATCATTATTTGGAGACATTAGGTGGCCAGAAATGAGGTCCCACTTAGAAAAATATGTGGTCTAAAATTGTTATTGGTGCCAGGTTGGAGCAATTCTATTGCTCAAGCCATGTAAAAATATCAATAGAGAAGCACCACTAGTACACTTACCTCACTAAAAATCGAATCTTTTTCTCCCTTAATTTCTCCTACTTTTGTCCAATCTTGAATAGAATCAATTTCTTTCTCTACCAAAAACCCCAAACCCCAAATTTTAAATTTCATTTTAACTTTTTTCTTTCTGGTCTCTGCATGTCTCCTTCATCTCCATTCCTCAATATTTCACCTGATCTTCCTAATCTTTCTCTCATATAATCACATAATAAAAAATTCCCAAAAAAACCCACAAAAAAAAAAAAAAAAAAAAAAAAAAAAATCATGGAAGAACTTTGGAATGGCATCCACCAATCTTCATTACAAGACTTCTTATCTAGAGGTTCAATTAAAGATAAAGATCAAACAGAAAAACAAGCTGATGATGCAGATGATTAAAATGAGATGTTTAAGAAAGAGTTTCTTAATAGTCTTAACACCCCTGGTTTTATTTCTTCACTAAACTCCCCATTTGAAGCTTTGGCTACTGTTGCTGTTTCTTCTTCTGCCACTTCTTTGTTGAATTCCACTTGTTTTTCTGTCAAAAACAAGCGGATGTCTGAAGATCAGAACATTGTCGATGGTGAAATTGGTGTTGATCGGAGGCATAAGCGTATGATGAAGAATAGAGAGTCCGCTGCTCGGTCTCGTGCTCGTAGACAGGTCCTCATTCTTTCTTTTATAACGCGTTTGCATTACATTAATAACAACATTGTTGATGTGGTGTTACCATATATTTTATGTATTATGTGCTTTATCAATTTATCAAGGATGTCATACTAAATTATGTTTATGGTAAGAATGCTTTATATTAATTTCCAAAGGCAATATATATGGGGTATACCATATATTTTGTATATTCCTTCAAAATTTTGTGCAGGCTTATACAAGTCAGTTGGAAAGGGAACATGCTGAATTGAAAGAAGAAAATGCTAAGCTTAGGAAACAGCAACAAATGGTGATTACTTATCTTAATTAATTGGTTAGCTTTAATATCATGATTATTAGTATTATGTTTGGGGTTTGATTATGCAGCCCTAAAATCATGGTTTTTTTGGATGTGATCTGGTCTTTGACCTTTACCCTTTTACTGCTGTCCCAACGTAGACAGGGGAGCTGCTTATTTAACAATTGTCGTTAACTCGTTATTAATGTCCAGGGTAGATCCAGAGTTTGTGTTCAAATTTTATTATATTTTCGGGTGTACCTGAACGAAAGTATGTCCGGTGACGCGTAAGACTGTGTGACCTTGAGAACGCGCTCTTATGAGCACGATCATGTGTTCTACTAGCTAGTGTCCCATGAATTAACTACACAAATATACAAGTTATAGTCTATGTGCACGTGCGCGTGCATAACACATGTCGCATGGGCATACGTAAGCCTTGAATGTATATTACTAGTGGGATACAATTAATGGAGAGGAATGCTACCATAATTTACAATTAGTACAACAGTACTTAGACAATATATTTTGACATAGGTATATTATGTAGAAATATTATGATCAAGAAAATTCAATTAATTGTTTTTCAAAAATAGTTTGTAATGATTATAAAGTTTTGATAGTTCAACATATTAACTAATTTAGTTTGCATTTTCCTTAACACGTTATGTATGGTAAAGGCTATACATACAATGGTTGTATGTGTATCAGCCTTCTGTATGTGTATCAGCTCTCTGTATTATGGCAAGTAATTAAGGATTAAATTTGGCTAAACACTTTTTTTTTTTTTTTTCAAATGTTGTCTTTAAAATCGAATTGATCATTATTGATAATTTTGTTAAAAACAAAAGTTTTACTTGATGAAACTTATCCAAAGATGAATGGATCATTGGTAATTTTATAATGCAAGTCATTTTATCTTCTAATATAATAGAGATTGAAAACTTAAAATTTAATCATATAAGACAAAATAAAAGCTAATATACGTAGAGAGATTAATTTAACACTATGATTAGAGGAATAAGCGATTTCTAGCTAGTGTCCCATGATTAGAGGAATAAGTGATTTCTAGCTATGATTTTGACACTCTTATTTGTAAGTGGAGCATATAAAATACTCTCAAAATAGTTGTCTATTAAATTCTAGACCTTATGGATATGATTGTGTGGAACTTTGAAAGCACTTTCAATTGCCCCGTGATTTGAGTGAAAAAGTTATATAGGTTGTTCAAAATCTAAACATCAATTTTACAAGAGTTTAGTATCTATCTTTTTATGCTTTTTGTTTGTTTATTCAAAATTTATCATCTGTGTAACCTTTAATTGTATAAAATGAGTAAAATGTAAAAATATCATGACTAAATTGTAGTGAATATGATATTATTTATCATAATTTCTAACTTACTACGGAGTAATAAAAATGTCAAATAAAAAAAATAGGGGGTTATAATAGAATTTCATAGTGCGAAAGTCAGTTCACTATAATAATAATGTGTGGTATTACATAACGCAAAAATTAATACTCCGTATTATATTGTTATGTAGGGCCACATAAGATGAGGATTCTAAGCCAAGAAACTATAATTCATGCCTACTACTCCGTAAATTCTTCTAGTAAAGAATACAAAAAAAGTTCAGGTTTTCAGTCGTCATTGTGTCGAATAGTCAATTTCTTTGGCCAGATATTTTTACTATTTCTCTTGTAAGATTTTTTTTTAATAATTCTATCACTTATCATAGTGCTAAAGTTTAGATAATTTTGTCAGCTTTAAATTTCCTTATCATACGTAGTAATTCATATCATAGTCACCTTTTTGTTTTGTTTTGTTTTGTTTTGTCGTGGGTGTTGGACTGAGTTGGACTGTTGGGTGGTTGGGGCTAGAATTATTTGTCACTCATGATTAGAACTTTAAAAGTGGCCATTGAGCCACTTTAAGCCCAAGCCGTTGTAAATTACCTCGACAATAACTTGGCTATATTGGGAGTGTACTCAAATTTGGTAATTTAGGTTAAAAACTTTAAGTTACTTAAATTTAGGTTTTGACTTCATTTACAATCAAACCATTAGTGGTTAATGGAAACCTATGATCAGCTGTTTGTACGATTGTACTATGTATTTATGAATATGCGGAGTAGTTTATAAAATTAATTTTTAAGTGTTAGTTATGTACACACGGATTCAATACACAAGGATTCAATGGTAAGGATTGTTTCTCATGGGCATTTTTGGGATGCAAATTCTCATACTTTCCCTTCACTCATAAGGGGCTGTGTTGCCTGTGTATGCTAACCGATTAGAGTCGACTCATGCGAGATTCTTCAATGGTAAAGTGCATTCATCTCTTATCTAAAATATAATTACAAAGAGGTGAATTAGTCAATAGCAAAGGAGAACATGTTGCTCTATTTGTAGAATTAGCTAAAGCTTTCAACTTATAAACTGGTTAAGAAAAGTCATGTATTGAAGATTTGTACTCCCTATGTCCCCAAAACTTCGACCCTTTTAGCCTAATATATTACACACACGGAATTATTTGACAATTTGAAAACCTTAAAGTCAATAGTTAGTACCAAGTATAAAATAAATAAATGTTGCATTTATGACAATAAAGTGATGTGTAGCCAAAAAGTAGTTGTAATATTGAATTTTGAAGAGAAATTATCTCAAATTTGTGGATAAATTTTTTGTTTTTGTTGTTTTTGTGATTGCAGTTATCTCTATCTATTCCAGTTGAGATGCCGAGAAAGCGCAGTCATAGTAGATCGTCTACAGCACCACTTTGAGGTCGGAATAAGAAAATTAATCCAAGTTTTGGATTTGTTTCTGTGAAGAGTTGTATATATTAGGGTTGCTATGCATGGGGAGTAGTAGAGTTTAGGGTTGCTTTGCCTTGTTTAATGCATTGTACAAATTATGAGTTGGAATTTTTGCTGATGAGACATAAACGTGTAGTATGATATTGTAAATATTTTTGTTCTTTAATTTTATGTCATTATTGTGTGTGTTTATGTCATAGTCATACTCTCATATACTTTGTTTTTGGTCCAATGATTTAATTTTCCTCGTCCAATGGAATTCTACGGGTGGTTGAGATGATTAGACAAAAACAGTTTAATAATTAGTTGCTAGTGCTTAGCAAAATTAAGTCACTTTTAATTGTATTGGGGACACAGTAATGTCTAAGCAACCCAAAGTAGTGGGACCTTTAATGCAATTGTACAAATTTCAACCGTCAATATTTTTATATATACAATTTTTTTGTTAAAAAAAAATAAATAAATAAAAATTATTAAAGGAACTATTGGTTTTTTGGGGTTAAGAATATCCTAGCTTCCACTTTTCACTTAAAAGAAAAAAATCGATAAACATGAGGACATCATCAATCATCATCCTACATTCCTACATACTATGTGAACATGTATCCTTTATATTCAAACCTAGATTATACTCTTTTTGATTCATCAAACTAAACTATTTTTATAAGTTTAATAGAAATGTCTTAATCGTAATCTATAGACTGACTTAAAAGCTCTTTTAAAGAGTGTATTGTCATGATTGTAAATTAGTATAAAATTTATATTTTATTGAGCTAAATTCATATTTATTTATGATTCAGTCCTTCTAAAAAATTTATTATAATACTGTAGTCCAAAATAATACAATTAGTTTTTCTGCCTCATTTGTTCCACTTTGATCGATACAATAATTTGACTCTAGTGTTTGCAAAGATCCAACTATAGTTAAGCTATTAAATAAAACTTTAATACTAGTATTTAATTAGAGTTTTTTTTTTTTTTTTTTTTTTTTTTTTTTTTTTTTTTTTTTTGTTGACAACTATTTAATTAGTTTTAGTTGAGTTGCAACCTGCAATTCAAACTGAGGAGATGTTTATTTACCACCTATGCTATATAATAAGCTAAAATTTATATAAAATGCATAACACATATACATGTATAAAATAAAACAAATTCAACATCTTTAGTATTATACTTTATATCCATTATATTTCTTATTTTGTATAAGCAAATATTCCATTCGTCCCAAAATATCTAACATGTTGGACTTTATTTTTTATTTTATTTATTTATTACGAAGTATTATTATTTTTATTTTTTGAAACCCACGAAATATTATTTATGTATTAGCTTTAACCATAAATTCATAATTTTTTACTAACATAATATAAATATATTTTGTCATAAAATATATTATTAGATAGGTATTAATATAAAGTTTCATAATATATTTTTGGAAAATTTGATTCTAATAATCCAACCTTTGGGCGATTTTTTTTTATTAATCCGACCTTTTGATTATTCTACAATAATCCAAGCTTTAGGGGATGTTCTATTCTATTAGGCCAAGGTGACCTGCTACCTGGTCTTTAGGTAATTTTTATTTTTTTTTCATTTTCAATTATTTTTTAAATTCATTTTCAGTTATTTTTTTTCAATTATTTTTTTATCATCAGCCTTCCCTTTTCCCATTAAATCCGACAGCCCCAATTTCCTGCCACTCCTTTCCCCTCCGCCCTGAGCCCCTGACCTCCCTTTTCCGGCCACTCCTTTCCCTCTCTTTCAGCCATTCCGGCCAACCCTCCCCCCCAGCCACGCCTCACCCTACAAAAACCCGAATTCTAAATCAAAATCGAGATTTTTAAATCAAATTCATCGAGTACAAATCAAAACTCAGAATTCCAAATCCCATAATATAATCGATTGAATTTTTGCTGAAACCTTTGAGTTCTTGAGGAAATTCCATTCTTGATCTTGCAAAACCTTAATCAAATTGGGGGGTAAATTCTAGGATTTTGAAAATCAAAGATTTCTTGCAAATGGAGGGTAATTAAAACAGAGAGAGAAAGAGGGAAGAGGGTCGGGTTTTCGATGGCTTTGGGCAAAATTCGTCCCAACACCCACAAAATTCACTACAAATACTACTCCAAACACCCGAAAACCCAAAAATCGGCGGTGGGGTAGGGGTTTTCGATGGTTTTGACTTTTGAGCAAGGTTTTGGGGGAGGATGGATAGGTTTTCGGTCTGGTTTCACGTGGGTGGGGGTTTTTGGGTTCGAGGTTCGGGTTTGAGGTGGTTGCTGGGTGTCGTGTTTCTGGGTTTCGACTAGGGTGGTGGCTGGTGGGGTGGGGTTCCTTGCTGACGGAGGTAGAGGTATGGTGGGCGTAGGTCTGGCCGGAAATGGAGCCATTCATGAAGGCGTGGAAGGGAGGAAGAAGATGAAGAGGAAGGGAAAAAATGGAGGAAGAATTTTTTTTTTTTTTTTTTTTTTAATTTTAACTTTTTTTAAATCAAAAATATTTTTTGAACAAATGAAAATGCGACACGTATACACTTTGAAGGAGGGGCGGATGAGATTCGAACCCGTGACCTTTATGTCACGCTGGCTTCGATACCATGTTAGAGGATCAATTCAACCAAAAGTTTAAGCCTATGATTGAGACCCAGGAATATGTTTTATATTCTATCAACCTGTTTGACCTAATAGAATAGAACACCCCCTAAAGCTTGGATTATTCTAGAATAATCAAAAGATTGGATTAATAAAAAAAGACAGTTCAAAAGTAGGATAATTAGAATCAAATTTTCCTATATTTTTTATAATAATTTCATTAATATTTAACTACATAAAAATAAAGTCAAATTAATATATTGACATACGTGCAAAGTTGACTATATAAGATATTACGAGCCAGAGGAAATCATTGTGAAGGCATTTAATTTAAGTTGATTTACACATACTTCTAGATTTTATATAAAGTTCGTACTAGCAAATGGGTATTGGCAATAGTGGATCGGATGACCACAAATCCACAATAGGTCCACATAGTTGTGCTTCTTGAAATAACAATCACAGTAGAAACTTCTTGCAATATGTTTAGAATCATTTTGGATATCTACAAAGAATCTAAGGTTTGACAATGTCGTCTAGCTAGGAGTTTGATGCATGTAGAGAGTTCTTTGCACATAGGGCCTGTTCTGATTTATTGAACTGTTTATGAGAGAAGAAAATTAGGAACTAAGCTGAGCTGATCTGAGCTATAATGACATAATCAAGACTTCTTTTCTTGTAATATTTAGAGCTTATAGTAGTAGAGCGTAAAGAACACATTGACATATTTGAACATTACAAGAGCCTTGAGTTTCTTAACATATTTGAATATTACAAGAGCATGTTCTTTTCAGCTTAATTTCAATTTAGTTCAATTCAGCTCCAACAAGCTCAGTTCAGTTCATTTCTTAATTTCCTTCTCGCATAAACAATTCATTTAAACCCAGTTCAGTTCAATTAGTTCAACTCGATTCAGTAAATCAGAATACACCCTTAAATAAGCTCCAACTTAGTGGTTCTTCAAGGGTCAAGACTATGACAAGATTTGTGTAAGACACTCTGATCAATCAAAGGCTAATTATATCCTATTCAATAGAGTGCACAAGTTAAATATATACTTCTCATCTAATGTAGATGTTTATTAAAAAATTATATGGAATTCATTATACCTAGTATTACTCTAGTTTCAT